TTTGTTGGTTTGGTTTAATTTTTCTGCCTACTGAATGAAAATTCACATTTTTGGGAACGCTCTGGGATTGCTCCAACCAACCCTGGGGGCAGCCAAGGAGATTCTGGAGATTCTGGAGAGGGAATGGGGTAGCGGGGAACATGAAGAGATCCCAAAATTCAGGGCCCTGAGCTGAGTATCCTCATGGGGGCTTGGGAACACGGGAATTCCAGGGGGGATGGAATGGGGGGAGGCTCAGAGACCCCTGTGAGGGGACTGGGGGGTCACTGGGACGAAACCCACCAGGGTGGGGGGCTCAGAGACCTCCGTGAGGGTCACTGGGACAAAACCTTCTGGGATGGAGAGAAATTGTCCCTGTCTGGATACTGGGGAGGGAAAACTCGAGCAGAAGTGGGGGTGTCTGTGGGAGCAGAACTGGGGGTCTCTGTGCCCCCCAGGAACAGAACCGGGGGTGTTTGTGCTCCCCAGGAGCAGATCTGAGCGTCTCTGTGGGATCAGAACTGGGGGTCTCTGTGGGATCAGATCTGGGGTCTCTGTGGGATCAGATCTGGGGTCTCTGTGGGATCAGAACTGGGGGTCTCTGTGGGATCAGAACTGAGGGTCTCTGTGGGATCAGATCTGGGGTCTCTGTGGGATCAGAACTGGGGGTCTCTGTGGGATCAGAACTGGGGTGTCTGTGGGATCAGAACTGGGGGTCTCTGTGGGATCAGAACTGGGGGTGTCTGTGGGATCAGATCTGGGATCTCTGTGCCCCCCATGATCAGAACTGGGGTGTCTGTGGGATCAGATTTGGGGTCTCAGTGGGATCAGAACCGGGTCTCTGTGCCCCCCAGTGCTGGCTGCCCCCCCAGCTCCGTACCTGCTGCAGGTAGAGGCTGTGGATGTCCCCCCACCTGCGGAGCCGCCCGATGGAGGAGATCTGCTCCCGGTCCAGGCGGAGCGTGCCGGTGGGCAGCGGCCCTGAGGGGCTGCAGGGGCACGGGGGGGTTTGGGGTGCCCTGAGCCCCCTCCCTGCCAGCCCTGGGGTGCCCTGAGCCCCCTCCCTGCCAGCCCAGGGGGGTTTTGGGGTGCCCTGAGCCCGGGCTCTGTGGGGTTTTGGGGTGCCCTGAGCCCGGGCTCTGTGGGGTTTTGGGGTGCCCTGAGCCCCAGCTCTGGCTCTGTGGGGTTTTGGGGTGC